TGGACAAAACAGAAGGAATGCTTCTTTCTGTCATGGAGGAGAGGCTCTATTCTCTCTATTTTAGACCTGTGCATGGATACCGCTTTCCACATTACCATATTGAAACAGTGTCTCTAAATGCTGTACTTTGTGTTAAATAACATAACCGAGATCTGGAATTCCTGTCGCTTTCCCATTTTCTGCCCTTTCTCAGCTCACATCTGAACTTGCCTTCCTCTATGATCTTGCAAGTTGTCTATTCCACCCCCTCCCTGTTTTGTTTTCCTGGCTGGGTTGAGTATATAGGTGTTCTCTTTGTGTCTGTTTAGTTAATGGTTCCCCAGGTTTGTCTCTACCTTCAAGGTCTGATGTGGCTTAGAATTATTCAGTTATCCTATCTTTAAGAGTTACTGGATCTCAGGCCATTACTTGTTCCAAAGGAGGCTTTCCAACAAGAATGTTTATTTTCTGCTATTAAAATTTTATTTGGCTGAAATATGTACAATATTGATAAATGTTATATTAATGTGTACAAAATGTATGTTTGTGGAACTCAATGTGAGCAGAAGCAAGTGGCAGTAAGATGCTGTGGGAGGAAGGACAAGCAGATGGTGACAGAAACCACTCTTTCTGAATTTGTAGTTGCTACTGAGTCCAGATGACATGAAGTAGTAGTATTCTTGGTTTGGTTTCCAGTAGGATATGCAGCAGAGTGAAAACTGTTTAATTTGCTGTTTCTTTCTAGTAGTTTAACCAGCAGAATACACAAAATAGTATTTGGGTCTTTTCTTCTCATTGTACCCTTTGTGCTTCATCCTCCTGTGTGTGGTTTGCATGTTTGTAATCAGGGAAGTGGTATTTATAATAATTAGGCTCTCTCTTTTTCCATGGAACTATGTTTCTGAAATGCTGCTGAAATATTAACTAAATAAAACCAGAATTAAAAAACAAATCTTCATTACTTCACTTCCATTAATGTCTAAACTACACTGTGAGTCAAAGAAACATCAGGAAAGATTAACCACAGATAAACGCTGAACATATCAGTATAAGTTTGAAGAGCTTCTAGATAAGTTTTTTAACGTGTTAAGTCAGAGGTCCAAACTAGACCGAAAGACCATGCCTGAGGAAGCAGCAGTACAAGTCTACTACTGCCACCCTAAGTAACCCTTGCAACAGAACCATCAGCACCCTGAGGTATGGTGTGGCATTCTGAGCAATAAGCAGTCTAGTGGTCACTTCCAGCGGGGAAGTAAGCAACTGCTAGATATTGGAATCAAAGTTCACAAAACATCCTTAAAGGGCAAAGGAGTTATAAATCTCTAAAGTCAGTGACTGTAAGGCTGTATGGGTTCACTTTATGAGCTATTTTTTAAGTAAACCTTAGCTACTCAAAATTTAAAATACTATGTGAAACTGCATATGTCAATAAAATTCCAGATTCATTAAATTTGTCTTGCGCTGTTCCACCTTTCCTTCCCTTTCATTCCAAAATTGGAGACCCCTGTGTTAGAGATTCAGACAATGAATCCTTTTATCTAGCACTTGCATTCATTATTCATTGTGCATTGTCAGTGGATTGCTACTTCAGGCCTGAATTAGAGATAATTAATCTTTGGAAAGCACTTGTAATTTTACACTTTATGAAGCTCTATTGTCTCAGCACAGTAGTGCTGTGGTGGCAAAATACTCTAATGCTCATTGTTGCTATGCAATATTATATCTCAATATTTATGTTCATTCAGGTCTTTTGTTTTGCTTGCTTGTCTGTAGGTTTATGTTACAGCAGTCATGTTTGTGTTTTGCTTTGGAAATACTTTTTGGCATTTCCGTTTTATACAGAATTTCAAACAGAAATAGGTTAAATTGTCATTTAAATGGTGAGGTTAGAAAGACCTTTATCCTCTCCAGTACTGAAAAGGAAAACTTGAAAAGTGATGGACTTCAGAGCAAGAGGAATCAAGTAGATTTCCAACTTGGCATGTCACTTCAGATGAGTTAAATTGGTAGCTGCTAATTGATAAGATACAGAAACTAAGAAGCTAATACAGAAACTAAGATACATAGAAACTAAGGCCTGATGTTTTCTATCTGGTGGTTAAATCTTTCTAAACCTTGCTATGCATGTTGCCTTCTAGGAGCTCCAGTTGCATATGTAAGCGTACGTGTAAGAACTTCGGAAGTTGGTTTCATGTATTGCAACCTTTTTGTTTAGTTTACACATCTGCATAGGGAACAGTTCCTGCTGTGTATCTTACAATAGCTTAGAAACTATTCTAAAAATATCACTATCTCTTGACAGTACTTACAACTGATATTTCTAGAATGCTGAAAGAATAAAATTATAATCTGTGCCCACATGAAGGTACTGGAGAAGTGATTTGATGCAAAGTTACCAGAGATCCCATAGTTGCATAGCACACACAGGGGAATGTTTTGGAATAAGTATCAATGTATGCCTGTCCTTCTACTCTTCACAGAATCACAGAATGGTTAGGGTTGGAAGGGACCTCTGGAGATC